ATCATTACTACCTTTCGAAGATACACAGAATAAATTTTTACAAATATATTTCATGGGCAATATGGAAGAACAACTTGATCGACGCCTAGGGATCAATGCAGGAATGTAGCGAGCAATTATTTAAGACTTGCAGTGTCTGCTTCATGAACATCATGCGTTGGTCAGGTTGTTTAAGAGTGCTTTAGAGCGCATGCCAAATGATGACTATAAAGTTGTCATCAAAGCAGATAAACGACCATCTGTAACACACGAACGCACATTTAATGCTCCAACAGTAGACGAAGTTGCCATCCTGATTGTTGGTGAACAATTGGAAAAACTCGATATTGTGCTTACACGTCGCGATACTGGGCAACTGCAACAAATATCTGAAACTCATCGATCATAATATGATCATATTATGACGCATTGCAATACCCACTGATGTTTTGGCAAGGAGAAGATGGATATTATTTTAATATTAAAATGATAAATCCATTGAATGGTAAAGTATCAGTATCTTAATAATGGTTAATGTCTGTATTATTTGTATTTGAAATGGTTAATTATCAAATTTTTAATTTCAGGTGAAGAAACTACACTCTACTGAAGAAACTATCAGTATCTTAATAATGGTTAATGTCTGTATTATTTGTCTTTGAAATGGTTAATTATCAAATCTTTAATTTCAGGTGAAGAAACTACAAAGAAAGGTAGCTCAATGAATTATTATGCATATCGTTTGATGATTCGTCAAAATGCTGACAACTATTTGCTGCGGTTTCGTCGATTGTTTCAGCAGTAATGCGTTGACATGTATGTAAAAATAGAAACGGAACGTTTAATATTTATTAGGTTGAACCAAGCCAAACTGCGTTCTGAGGAGTACATCCATTTACGTGATGCAGTTAGTACTGAAGGAAATGTAGCTAATATTGGTAGATTAACTATTCTGCCGGCGACGTACATTGGTAGCCCACGTCATATGCATGAATATGCACAAGATGCAATGACATATATTCGTCATTACGGCCGGCCAGATCTCTTTATTACTTTTACCTGTAATCCAAAATGGATAGAAATTACTCAATTGCTGCTTCCAGGACATACATCAAATGATAGACACGACATCACAGCACGAACATTCAGGCAAAAAATTCGGTCCCTGATAAACTTTATTGTTAAACAACGCTTCTTTGGAGATACTCGATGCTGGATGTATTCAATCGAATGGCAAAAGCGAGGCCTGCCGCACGTACACATTCTTATTTGGTTAGTGGAAAGAATTCAGCCTGACCAAATAGATGATATCATATGTGCTGAGATTCCTGATCATGAAGTCGATCCAGACCTACATGATGTTGTTACTACTAATATGATTCATGGACCGTGTGGTGCCATCAATCCCCAATCACCTTGCATGGTCGATGGAAAGTGCTCTAAACGATATCCACGAAAATTAACGGCGGAGACTGTCACTGGCAACGATGGGTATCCGCTGTATCGGCGTTGATCACCAGATGACAACGGTCGAACTGTCACGACGAAAGTGAAAAGAATGGATTTCGTTGTCGACAACAGTTGGATTGTTCCATATTCGCCACTTATTTCTAAAACGTTCAAGACACATTGCAACGTTGAATACTGCAATTCAGTTAAGTCCATAAAATATATTTGCAAATATGTCACGAAAGGCTGTGATATGGCGGTTTTTGGATTGCAATCCTCAAATACCAACGATGAAATTTCACGCTATCAAGTTGGTCGTTATGTGAACTGTAATGAAGCGATTTGGCGTATATTCGCATTTCCAATTCACGAACGTCATCCTACTGTTATACATTTGGCGGTGCATCTGGAGAATGGTCAACGAGTATATTTCACGGCTTCGAATGCTACGCAACGTGCTGAAACACCTCCAGCAACTACATTGACCAGTTTTTTTGCAATCTGCCAAAGCGATCAGTTTGCACGAACTTTGCTTTACTCGGAGATGCCACGTTATTATACTTGGAATGCTTCATCCAAGAATTTTCAAAGACGGAAGCAAGGTGATGCGGTTCCTGGGTATCCAGATGTGCGTTCTACTGATGCTCTTGATCGTATGTATACAGTTCATCCAAAGAATGATGAATGTTTCTATTTGCAGTTGTTGCTGGTAAATGTGCGTGGGCCAACTTCATTTGAGACACTACGAACTGTTAATCGTGTAATATTCCCAACATATCGTGCTGCATGTGAAGAAATGAACTTATTAGAAAACGATACCCATTGGGATACGACAATCGCTGAAGCCATTATCTCTGCATCTCCAAGTCAGATACGCACATTATTCGCTATCATAATTGCGACATGTTTTCCATCAAACCCATGTAACCTGTGGCACAAATACAAGGATAGTATATCAGAAGATATTTTACATCAAAGTCGTGTCAGTTTCAGAAATTACGATATTGAGATGAATAAGGAGATACATAATCGTGCTTTACTCTTGATCGAAGATATGTGTTACCTCTAGTGCGGTAATTTATTAATCAGGTTAGGAATGCCAGCGCCAAATCGTGAAATTAATGACGCATTTAATCGAGAATTGGAATGGGAACGTGAATATGATCACCAGGAATTAGATTTAGTAGTTCAAAGGAATGTACCCCTGTTGAATTACCAACAAAAGGAAGTTTATCATACTTTAATGAAGGCAATCGCTGATGAAAATGGTGGTTTATATTTCCTAGATACCCCTGGTGGAACTGGCAAGACATTCCTTATGTCATTACTTTTAGCAACTGTTCGGGCGAGATCCAACATAGCGGTTGCAGTTGCTTCTTCTGGAATAGCAGCCACATTGTTAGAAGGATGCCGTACGGCTCATTTAGCATTCAAATTACCGTTAAATCTTCAAACTATTGAAGAACCAACGTGTAATATTGCAAAACACTCAGCAATGACCAAAGTTTTAGCGTCATCGAAAATCATGATTAATATCATTTCCAAATAATTTCTGTAATTTTGTCTCATCAAAAGACCAACTTATCAACAATGTATTTCCAAATATTATTTCTAACTACAAAAATAATGAATGGTTGAGTGAGCGAGCAATTTTAGCGGCTAAGAATAAAGATGTAGATGACCTGAAGTACATAATTCAAAATAAGATCATTGGAACAATGCATTCATTCAAATCTATTGACTGCGTCACAAATGAAGATGAAGCCACCAACTGTCCAATTGAATTTTTAAACTCTTTGGACGTGCCTGGTTTACCACTGCATAATTTACGCCTAAAGGTAGTAGTAATCATGCTTCGAATCGAAACATAAACCAACCAAAACTGTGCAACGGTACGCGTTTGGTGGTTAGTAAATTGATGAACAATGTAATTTACGCTACGATAATGATAGGAAAATTCAAAGGTGAGGAAGTTCTCATTTCGAGGATCCCGATGATCCCAACCGATATGCCGTTTGAATTTAAAAGACTTCAATTTCCGATACGTCTTGCATTTGCCATGACCATCAACAAATCACAAGGCCAATCCTTAAAAGTTTGTGGTTTAAATCTAGAACATTCATGTTTTTCCCATGATCAATTATACGTGGCATGTTCACGGGTCGGAAGACCATTTGCGTTGTTTGTTTTTGCGCCTGATAATAAAACAAAAAATGTTGTGTATCACAAGGTACTTAAGTGAAGAGCAACCTATGTACTAAAATACAGAAATAATAATGAATTATTAATGTAGTTATTTAATCTTTTTTGTATTTTTTCCAAAAAAAAAACACAATCTGCTTATTTATTGCCATTAAGCGGAACAAAGTTCGCCGGGTCAGGATCACCAAATAAAATAAATTTAATTCAAGTGGCATATGTTGCCTAACGTTTTCTCCCAGAGCTTTTTTGTACCCTTTGGGTATTTAAAATTTGCTAGGGAGTAAACCCCATTGTATTTCTACTTGCTATGTAATTGTGGTTGGAAAAATTAATTTTATCTGAAACGTTCAAATTTTAAGGCGCGTTGTACTGTCCTCCGTTTGCTATAAGACGTATATATACTGTAACATTGTGCATTGTTAAGGCATTATATGACTTGTGTCTTTGTGCACATGAAGATTTGATTTGATAGCGAAGTTTTATTCCGAAAGGCGTTTCAACGGTGAGAATGCCTGCCCCATCCTCTAGGTTAAATACCGCTAGTTCACACCATTTAATCAATTTCTTTTTGAGTTTTAGTTCATTCAAAAGACGACAGCAATTGTTACGCCCAGCAAAGTACCTCGGGTGAAGCAACCCAGGTAAGCAAACACCTTTTGCCAAATCGGCAGTTGATCGTCCGGTACACAAAACCCAAAAGTCAAACGAGCCACTCACAAGGTGACTGGATGGTTTTACGGGCTCACATTTGGAGAAGAGGTAATTACATAGGATTCAGAAGAGCCTCTCAAATTCCCATTTCCCAGGATATCCAAGATTAAAACAAGTAAAGTCTCCCCAACGTTATGTCTGCGATTGAGGAGTGCTTGGAATTAGCTTGGGGGTCTGGAAGGTACTGTCTTCATGAGGCGTGACCTCTTTAAGCTTTGGATATGAGAACACCCTACTCCAAGAATCTCATGTCTCCTAAAGCTATGATTTAATAGTATGTATGTGTGTGTATGTGTGTGTGTGTATGTGTGTGTGTGTGTGTGTGTGTGTGTGTGTGTGTGTGTGTGTGTGTGTGTGTGTGTGTGTGTGTGTGTGTGTGTGTGTGTGTGTGTGTGTGTGTGTGTGTGTGTGTGTGTGTGTGTGTACGTTTCAACAGGTTTTAGTTAAGTAGCCACCATCAGTAAGTGTCTACTTCCCAGAAGCTATACATCATAATAGCTATATTCCAAAGTCTCTTTAAAATTATCATTAAACTTCTAATGCTAGAAAGTGAATCGAACCTTTGGATTAATCGTTTATCTCAACAATAGATAAATGTCATAAACTCAAATTATAGTATATATAAAGTGTAATTTTTGCGGATTTTATTTAATTACACGACAAAAATGGTGAAAATATTAGGTATAGTACTGCTATTACAGGCAGCCGCATACTGTGTAGATTCATATATTATTTCAGAAGATTATACCGTAACTGTGGATACCAATTATGGAAAAGTAAAAGGTGGCTTTGGAGCTAGATCACATGCAAATAAATCTGAAATTCTGTATTGGTTTAGAAGTATTCCATTCGCCGAACCTCCAGTTGGAAATTTAAGATTTGCTGTAAGTATATTAACTTTTTTCTTTTTTATTTGTAAATAAAACAAGTAGTATATAGTATAACTACTAATTTGTCTCTTATAGAGTTCGTAATTATAAAAAAAAATAGTAATAATTGTTGACTTGTTCTAGTTTAAACAAAACGTTTGCAATCACTAAATACCAAGATAAACTACAATTTAAAAATACGGAATACAATATATTAACTAAAATATAAGGTACATATCATGTATACTGACACTTTTAAGAAACAGCCGATGGCAAATAATTATTATTGACTTGGTAGTTTTTGTATTTTATGAATAATGTAGTAATATTTCTTAAAATCGATTTTTTATTTTTTTATAATTACGAAAATGCACATTGATTTGACCCCTTAAAATTCAAAATTCTCCAAGTTTTGAAACCGTTTTGTACCAATATGTTATACTATATCTGTATATACTATACCTATAACTGTCAAAAGTTCCTACACAGTGCTTTAATTTTTACACAGTATTTTATTAATGAAAATTACATGAAATATTTAGATACTTAATAATAACTTGAGATTAGGATTTTTCAAAAATGATAATAATTCAATAAATTATTGTTTTGTTGATAGTTCATCTCAAAATAAGAACAAACTCTCTGTTGCTAACTTATACAAGTTTTTCAATCTTTTCGAAAATATCGTTAAATTCATATTACATCCAATCATTTTATTGTGGAGGATTTCCATTTGTTACGCTACTACCTGACTTGACAATGGCAAATGTACGACCTGGGTTGCACCGAAAAAGGTGGACTTTAACCCTTTCACTCCTGTCGGGATATATATATATATATATATATATATATATATATATATATATATATATATATATATATATATATATATATATAACCAAAAGGATGATAACGGGTACGAGTACTATGTAGTGAAAAGGAGATAATACTGGGAAGTACCCTTATAACTGAGGAAGCAAAATAAAACTAGGGTGCTTCGTTCGATGTGCTTTTAATTAAAGGTCTAAGCTTTCGTCAATGATTATTGACATCATCAGAGTAAACTACAAACAAACGAGAGAACAAACAATGAACAAGTAGAACCTAAGTATACAAATTTATAAAACACTTACCCTAATTCTAGCAAGTAACTCAGTGACTTGGGTTGAACACAAAGAAAGTATTGTCCATGTATATATTAAACATAGTTGCAGAAATGGTATCCATAGTTTACAATGTGTTTTTTATTTAATTATAAACGATATATTTACTATAAATCTAACCACAAACAATTTAAAAATTTTACTAGTTTAAAAACAATCTAAAAGTAATTAACAATTATTATCGGCGGTGTCACTAAACTTGTTTGAACTAGCGGGATAATTTAAAATGTAAACATGACATATATAATCTAAAATGTTAACAACGAATACTGAAATAAATATAAAATATAAAAAATAAAATAATTAAAATTGTCATTAACCGGGTTGATTGAAAATATAATAAAATAATACAGATGAGGAATGTTTTATAATAATGATGGAGATATAGTATTTTTTTATATTATATATTTTTAAATTAAAATAGTTAAAAATCTAACCTATATCACTCATATATCTAGGCGACAATTTTTTTTATTCCTGAAATATTTTGTTTAAGCAGGAAGGTGTAGATTGAACTTAAATTATCCACATCCTTCTTGTGATTGATGGCATTTTTCGCATTATAAATGTAACACATCTCAAGTATTTTACGCTGAAAATCTCTATTAGATACATCTAAGATGAATGTGTCATTATAGAGGGCTCTGTGGTCTTTGCTATTGACGTGAATACTAAGACTTGTAGATTGTGGTTTGAGTCTGCAATCACTTTTATGAAGGGCCAATCTTTTACTTAACCTTTGGCCAGTCTGACCAATATAAACTAAGCCACATTCACATGGGATGCCATATATTACGTTGCAACGTTGTAAGGTGGGAGTAGGATCTTTTAATCGGGTGTAAAACAAGTTAAGTGTTTTTTGGTTGTAGGTAGATATTTTTATATTAAATTCACTAAATAAACTAATGAGTGATCTAGATAGATTTTGTATAAAAGGTAGTTTACCATATCTCGTATGAGTATCAACTAGAGAAACATTCTGATTTGTATCCTTGTTTACAATAGGATTAGAGAATAACAATTTGTTAAGCAGTTTTTTTTGGATATTGATTAGATAACAATATATCAAATAAAATTTTAATGTTTTTGTTAACAAATTTAGGATGGCAAATCTTAGTGATTCTATTTTTCATTGCTAGAACAACATTAATTTTCTGTTTTTCGGGATGATAGGAATTGTATGGAATAAATCTCCCGGAATTACTGTTTTTACGATACCAATCAAGGCAAATCAAATTACTTTCAGTTTTAACAAATAAAGTATCTAAGAAATCACAGTGGAGGAGGAGTCTAACTCATCTGTCCCTTTCTTAGATACTTTATTTGTTAGAACTGAAAGTAATTTGATTTGCCTTGATTGGTATCGTAAAAACAGTAATTCCGGAGATTTATTCCATACAATTCCTATCATCCCGAAAAACAGAAAATTAATGTTGTTCTAGCAATGAAAAATAGAATCACTAAGATTTGCCATCCTAAATTTGTTAACAAAAACATTAAAATTTTATTTGATATATTGTTATCTAATCAATATCCAAAAAAACTGCTTAACAAATTGTTATTCTCTAATCCTATTGTAAACAAGGATACAAATCAGAATGTTTCTCTAGTTGATACTCATACGAGATATGGTAAACTACCTTTTATACAAAATCTATCTAGATCACTCATTAGTTTATTTAGTGAATTTAATATAAAAATATCTACCTACAACCAAAAAACACTTAACTTGTTTTACACCCGATTAAAAGATCCTACTCCCACCTTACAACGTTGCAACGTAATATATGGCATCCCATGTGAATGTGGCTTAGTTTATATTGGTCAGACTGGCCAAAGGTTAAGTAAAAGATTGGCCCTTCATAAAAGTGATTGCAGACTCAAACCACAATCTACAAGTCTTAGTATTCACGTCAATAGCAAAGACCACAGAGCCCTCTATAATGACACATTCATCTTAGATGTATCTAATAGAGATTTTCAGCGTAAAATACTTGAGATGTGTTACATTTATAATGCGAAAAATGCCATCAATCACAAGAAGGATGTGGATAATTTAAGTTCAATCTACACCTTCCTGCTTAAACAAAATATTTCAGGAATAAAAAAATTGTCGCCTAGATATATGAGTGATATAGGTTAGATTTTTAACTATTTTAATTTAAAAATATATAATATAAAAAAATACTATATCTCCATCATTATTATAAAACATTCCTCATCTGTATTATTTTATTATATTTTCAATCAACCCGGTTAATGACAATTTTAATTATTTTATTTTTTATATTTTATATTTATTTCAGTATTCGTGGTTAACATTTTAGATTATATATGTCATGTTTACATTTTAAATTATCCCGCTAGTTCAAACAAGTTTAGTGACACCGCCGATAATAATTGTTAATTACTTTTAGATTGTTTTTAAACTAGTAAAATTTTTAAATTGTTTGTGGTTAGATTTATAGTAAATATATCGTTTATAATTAAATAAAAAACACATTGTAAACTATGGATACCATTTCTGCAACTATGTTTAATATATACATGGACAATACTTTCTTTGTGTTCAACCCAAGTCACTGAGTTACTTGCTAGAATTAGGGTAAGTGTTTTATAAATTTGTATACTTAGGTTCTACTTGTTCATTGTTTGTTCTCTCGTTTGTTTGTAGTTTACTCTGATGATGTCAATAATCATTGACGAAAGCTTAGACCTTTAATTAAAAGCACATCGAACGAAGCACCCTAGTTTTATTTTGCTTCCTCAGTTATAAGGGTACTTCCCAGTATTATCTCCTTTTCACTATATATATATATATATATATATATATATATATATATATATATATATATATCCCAACACATGATTGAAAAATTCTGAATGTTTTAAACTGTCCTAAAACTGCGTTGGGACAGGATATTTCAGTCGACTGTGGCATTTCTTATAACGTGAAATCGAGTATCCACCATCAGCATCAAATTTTAACCTAAAATTTAGTGTAATATGAACACGTTGTGAGTACGATCATATAAAACTGTGTTGATAACATATTTCTGTTGGCGTAAGGATAATTTTGGTTGCTGATTGTTAATTATAAAAGATTAAGATAGGTGAGTACATAATTTAATATTGCCGCTCAGTACGAAATTTATCGTAATGGGCAATAAATCTTGAATGGGATTATATATCCCAACAGGTGTTTTTGCTGGGAAATATTATCCCGACAGGTATAAACAACTTCCTTTGTTTAGTATGGATCGAAAGAAACAGAAACTTACCGAAGATGAACTTGATTACTTTATAATAACATTGATGAAATTGAAAGTATAGACTATAGTAGTGATGATAGTATGGTCGATAAGTACTTCATTTTGTCATCAGATGAACTAAGTGAGGCAAGTTCACTTGAAAGTGAAGTGAATATAGGTAATGAAACTGAGAATGCAGCTCAAATTTCAAATCAGGAATCCTCTGACGATGATGAAGATATCCAAGATGCAGACGAGGTAATGCAACCTTTGCCACCAACTAGTTCAGAATTTTCCACTGTTTGGACTGATGTCAATGCAGAAAATTTTATTCCGAGATATGATCTACCAGCCAGAACAGCCCCAGTTATTACAGATCAATTGAATCGAGGCAGTTCTACATTAAACTGTTTTCTAAATGTATTTCCTAAAAGTTTGTTTATGTATATGGCCCAGTGTACAAACCGTAGGCTTGAAATTTTAGAAGAGGAAAAGAAGAAAACTTTTGTCAAAACGTGCCAAAAAGAAATGATGCTACTTACTGGTGTTACGTTAGTTATGCATTATAATAGAGTTCCTTCTTTCGCAATGTACTGGTCTA